TGCAATGTCGATGTATTTGTCTTCGATACTTTCTATTATGATTTCGAATTCGGACATAGCCAGATTTCTACGTTCTAAAAGTGGAGTACTTGTACCTTGGTTTACTGTGCGAGCTTTTCCAAGATGGCGTCCATTTCCGGTAGCTGACTTTTTCGTTTCGTCTTCATTGCTTGTCATGGATAGTTCGATATTGTTGTTGTTGTTATTACTGTCGTCGTGATTTAAGATCGGTTTAATCAATGTTATTGAGTCATATAGATCGGGATTACTGGCGTTGAGTTCGTCGTCGTCACTGCAGTTCGATTTGTTTACATTGCTTACATTGGACGCGTACCACTCAATGTATTGCTCTGCTTCTTCTAATGAGTCAAAACCTTTGAAACAGTTCCCTGGATAACCGTTTGTTGACTGGTGACACTTTTTCCATTCAGATACGATTCCCGTCTTTCGTCCTACTGTAATAGCATAGAATTTCTTGTTTTTTGATTTCTTTCCACTTTTCGGAGCTTTCTTTGTTCTTCTTTGTTTATCGCCCGCCATTTCAATCTCCTCACACAGCTGATCTAATTCCGATTCGTAAGCAAAACTTGTACTTCGTTTTTCTTTCAAAGATCTTTTTCCCATGATGAACGATTAAGTCTGATATGTTCTAGGACCATATATTATCCACCTTGCACCTTTCAAATAGTGTAATTCGGCCTACAACCGCTGTATACAAGCTCAATATACGGAGCGAACTAACATGCGTGTAACATGCGTGTTTACGTAACGACGCCAATAATGCTTTTTTACAGACAGGTTATTAGTAGCAATATATTAATGTGTTGGTGTGGAGTCATGACTCGCACAACTTGAGAACCAATTCCACAGTAGCATGAATCAACTTAGAAATAAAAGAATTTTAAAAACTTACTTTCTGGCGGAAGAATCTCTAAGCTGGTTACTTCTTTTGTTAACTGAAAAAGAAAGACAGATTAGATCACATACATGCACCCATAACATAATCTAATCTAATGATAACAAGTTAAAGTGTACTTAACCCAAACCCAACTAAACTAATCTAAACAATATGGTTCAGTTTGAAATTGGGCTCTATCGTTTACTTTTTAAAATAAAAAGCACCCAGTTTGTAGTTTTCAAGATGGTATGTTCTAATATTAAAGAGAAAGAACACTTTTGAGGTTCAACATGTGGTGTTATGAATGGTAGAAGAATCAAAACATTTCTTATGATTCAGTCATGATTTGATCCACAAAATAGGATTTCTCTGGGGTGCAATTAAATATTATGTAAACTTCAATTTAGTATTGTGAATGATTTAGAGCACTTGATCAAATGCATATAAAGCTCCAGCATGTTTTCTAAGACACAAGTTGGCATACCTTGGTGTTCTTTCACCTTAAAAATCAAGAATCTCATTAACCAATGAGAACACCATGCAATACTGACAGTTTCCAACATTGTCCAATTATTACTGATCACAAAGAACGCATTTTCCAATATGGAAGTGAATTCCAATGTTGTAAAGGACAGACATTTAAAAGGTAAAATGAGTATTGAAGAATTTTAACAGCTTTCATGATAATAAAATGTAATTTTAATCACGCTAACTCAGTCGTAATCTGTTTTCCTTGGCCACGAAATTACCTTTAAAGTGCCTGTGCAATGCCCATTCCCACGTTTCGCATTTTAGATCTGTGTCCCACTGAAATGGGCAATTATTAATTTTTTAACCGAAAGTTGATAACTCGTATCCAAGTAAATTTGGGATATTTCTCGTGTTGTAGCCACGCCCACCTATCCTGAAACGGTTGACTGTTTTCGGATTTCCGACTCTCGCCGAAAGTGCGCCACCAAATGCCAAAATGTGAGAGAAAGTCATACCCCTGAGCCGTAACAACACTGGTCATTCAGTATACTTTTAAACGATATACATTTTTCGGTCGGCGTTTTTTTCTTTTTTTTTTTTGTCTATTTTATTTTGTTGAGAGAGAGTTTTTAGATGTTGTGTTGCGGGCAGTTGCAGTGAAACGTATAGTCATAGTGTGAGTATTCACACATTTCTAATCGATCCGAAGGTGCGACATCAGTGGACAAAAGCCACTTAACCTCAGATTCTTTTTTTTTTGGAGAAACTGTCCTCGTACATGAAAAAACAACTAGGTTTAAAGAGAAACGCCGGCAACATAAACCTGGCGCAACACTGAAAGAAATAGATTCCAGACAATGATCACCGAGTGGGATTTCAGAAGAGAGAGAGAGACGTCCGGCAAGTGTTTCAATGAGTTGACTTTTTTTGTGATTTTGATTATCGTTTTATAGAGACATTTAGTCTCTG